ATGAAGTCCCTCTCCACATAAGCAATCCGAGAACATGTAAGCGTTTCCCATAACTGGACAAAGACAAAAACAAGACAATCCCCCATACATTCCCCCAGTAACAAAAACAAGATGAGAAAGAAAAAAAAATATTAAAGACGATACTTAAAATAACTAAACAGTACATTAAACGGATATTCTTAAATTGATCCGTGACCTGATTGGATATGGGGCTGCAAAAGGATTATACCTACCCTTCAACCCAGTACTTAAAGCTTACTAAACCGTTGTTAACAGACTAAATGAAATAACCTAAGGCAACAATGAGCTTAGGTATTAGAAGAAATGAGAGCAAAAAACGTAAATAGGTAACAACATAGCATATACTGTTCCGATAACCAATGCACATCTTACCGGCCATTGTCCATTCACCTCCGACATGCACAGCGGATCCGCCGTGATATAGATCAAAACAAAAAGCAAAGAACCCGGCTGTGTTTGTATTAAAGTCCAGAGTCTATTACGTGGTGTGGGATCCAAAAATCAAGCAGTAGGCTCGCAAGTTAGTCTGATCAGCCAAACAATGATAAACAACTATCTGTCCCCAGATGAGTCCAGCGTCAGACAAAAACAAATAAAAAGAAGCCTGCAGAGATAATCCAAAACTCTGTAAGAGATCCCAGTCCACGCAAAGCAGTGTGCATTTAGTCCAAAACAGCGACGCTATATAGCCCAACAAGTTCCAAAAGACCGCTATTCGCCGTCAGACGATCGCCCAGGTCTCGGGTCCCCGTCCCCGCCGGTTGGTGCATCCTGCACTCCTGGTAGGGAGACGATGAAGTCTTCGGCATGTCCCGGGGAATGAAATGTCTTAACTTGACCAGCTCCCTTGACTTTCAGTGTAGCGGGGTAAAGGAGGAAAAATTCCACCCCTTTTGCACGGGCGGTATCCATTGCCCGGGAGAAAGCCTGACGACGTTTAACAGTGTAACTGCTGTAGTCAGGGGAGAAGCGAATCTTCCGTCCATCAATTGTGAGCGGGGCTTTCTTTGCGGCACGGAGTATGTCTTGGCGGGTGGTATAACGGAGAACGTTGAAAATCAGAGTGCGGGTAGCGCCCACCTGCTTCTTCCTGTCGTCGCTGTAGATACGATGAGCTCGCATTAACTCGCCCTTTAGATTACTTAAGGAGGGGAACCACTTTGGAAGCGAGTGTGTCAGAAATTGTATGGCGTTAGACCCTTCAACTCCTTCTGCTAGCCCAGTTATACGGACGTTGCATCTTCTGCTCCGGTCCTCCATGTCCGCTAGCTTGAGTTGCATCATGTCCAGCGTAGCCCCGTGGGTGGCTAGCATACCCGCATTTTTCACCACATCTAACCGTATCTTGCCCATCTCTGCCTTAACGGTGCCGATGCTTTCACTCAGTACCACCAAGTCCGTTTGGATAGAAGTCAATTTCTCCTCCGTCTCCTTCCCCATCTGTTGGAGTTGGTCGAAGCGCGAATCCAGATAGCCTCGTTGCTTCTCAATCACTGTGTCAGCTAACGCCTCCATGTCAGACTTCGCCCTCGTCTCGGGACCCTTTTTAGGTGGCGACTTTTTGCTCGATTTAGACATTGGTTTCGATCAAACACTCATAAAGGCTAAAATATATTTAAAAACATTTGTCTCAACGGTATAAATTTACAGAATTACCATCACTGGGTTGAGCGAGTTTAACCTATGCTGCCATCTTGTCCAGCTGATCACGTGACTCCTCCCCCAGCTCGAACCTTGTGTCTTCTTCAGCAGAAGAAGGCTGCAAGATTATTTCTGAAGTCTCTTGTGCACTGAAAAGCTTCTTCATTTGAGTTCCTTCTCTTTGCTCCAGGTCTTTCTCCTTCTCTGCTCACTAATGAAATAAGCCCTTGGTCAAACTGCATGTTTATCTTTGGCAGCCAGGTGCATAAACACACTAACAGTTGTTTTTTGTTTTTGAGTAATCAAGCAGCTCTTCAAAGACACATCAAACACATCCCTCAAAAGATGGCCTTTTGTTCCCATGAAATGATCTGTGCATGCTTACAGATTCTCACACACACACGGAGAGGGAGGAGAGGTGTGTGCTGGTTGTGCACAGGCCTAAAAAAATGTTGTTCTATCACCTGAGAGCACCAGGTCACATGCTGCAGGACCTGCTAGTCTGCTGCTGGAAATGACACACACACACACACACACGCACATATACACACACACACACACACACGCACACGCATACATATACATACACACACACACACACACACCACTCTCGGGGCCCCCTGGTAGTCACACGGCTCCATAATATAACTGGCAAAAATGTAAGAATTTAATGCATCAGCCTACAGTGGGAAAATGGTTTAATCTGTTGGAATAGAGTAGAAATATCAAATATCACTACTTTTCTTCTAAATGAAATGCTGACATTACAAAATGCATGGTTTTATACTGCAATGGCAATGAGATCAACAAATGTGGTCTGAATGGAAGTCAATGAGGCATTTTTGAGATAAATGAAATAATGAAAATAATTAAACAGGCGTTTAAAGGGTTAAAATCGAAACCGAAAATGGTAGTTTTGAGTACGTTAGAAGTTGTTTATGTGATTCATGAAAAAAAAGTAGAAAAAGATATTGATGTATGATGATTTAATAGAAGTTATTATGGGCGTGTACATTTTTGCCACGAAGGTGTCCAGAGGTAGTATCTGATACTACGTAAAAAATAATAATGCAGTCAAATCAATTTTGTTGCTAATCTTTGACACATCCCAGACTCTAATAACCACCAAAGTTTCATCCCTCTACTAATTATTATATTGAAAGAAATTCATTTTTTGTGTTTTTTGTAATAAATAATGAAATAATTCAAATAATTAAACAGGCATTTAAAGGGTTAAAATCCAGAAAAGTATTGAATGTTTGCTAGTTCTGAGTATGTTATAAGTTGTTTATGTGATTCATGAAACAAAAAGTAGAAAGAAATATTGATATATGATGATTTAATAGAAGTTATTATGGGCGTGTACATTTTTGCCACAAAGGTGTCCAGAGGTAGTATCTGACACTACGTACAAAATAATAATGCAGTGAAATCAATTTTGTTGCTAATCTTTGACACATCCAAGACTCTAGTAACCACCAAAGTTCCATCCCTCTACTAATTAATATATTGAAAAAAATTCATTTTTTGTGTTTTTTGTCATAAATAATTAAATAATTCAAATAATTAAACAGGCATTTAAAGGGTTAAAATCCAGAAAATTATTGAATGTTTGGTAGTTTTGAGTACGTTATAAGTTGTTTAAGTGATTCATGAAAAAAAAAAAGTAGAAAGAAATGTTGATGTATGATGATTTAGTAGCAGTTATTATGGGCGTGTACATTTTTGCCACGAAGGGGTCGAAAGGTTGAAAATTCGAGGAGGGCACAAGGGTTAAGATAATTATATCCTTAAAGGTGGGGTAGGTAAGTTTGAGAAACCGGCTCGAGATACACTTTTTGTTATATTCCATGGAATGCTCTTAACATCCCGATAGCAATGAATATCTTAAGTGCTTTGACAAAAAATCCATAAATAAATGTCATCTGTGGAAGCCGTAGTACTGTAAAAAGCACGACCAATCATTTTAGCCAGCCCGGCTAAAATAACTGGATGGCCTACCTGCCTGTCAGCCTTCCATCTGTGCACAAACTTATCTCGTGCCCTCATTGGTCATGTGCGCATTCGTGTGTGTTGGAGGAGGGGCTCTGTAAGGAAGTGGCAGATTTTTTCCGGCTGTGTATTTTCAAATTCGAGCGCACTCAAGCTGGTTTCTCCAAAATTACCTACCCCACCTTTAATTTAACCACATGTTTTTCTTAATTGAACCCACTTTTATCCTTAATTTAACCTAATTTGATCCTTAATCCAAACCTAATTTTATCATTAATCTAAAATAATTATGTCCTTAATTTAACCTTATTGTATCCTTAATTTAAACCTAATTTTTATCCTTAATTAAAACCAAATGTTATCCTTAATTCTCACATAAACTTATCCTTAATTAAAAAATATTTTCATCTTTAATTTTACCCTAATTTTACCCTTATTTTTTTTACAAGTTTTATAACTCCTAGATATTTTTGTTGAGACACAGATTCAATCAGAACCCTGCATAGTGGTAATAGGAGGGAGGTTTATGGTGTATTGGTAATATAGTGGTTTAATGTAATTCATCTGTCAAACTCAAGCTGGAGCTAGAGTAGCAGTAGGTTAGCAAGATGTGTACTGTGGGAACATACCAAACTCAAATGGAATGGAATAGTTCTTCAGATATTTCAGTATGTACCCAGAAAGTGGACCGACCAACAGTCCAACATTCTTAAAAGTTTGAGACTTCCTTAATAAGTAATTCATTTCCTATATCAATGAACTGTTACCTTTTTTTTGTTACCAAATTCATAAACATGAAGCTTCTCTCAGTACTTGAACTATTACCTGAAGCCTCTAACACATTCATCCGTTTCTGTTTAACCAGGGTAAATACTTACGTATCTTTGTCCTATACAGCCCAAAAAGCTGTGGTGGAAGCTGAATCACAAAAATTAATCTTGACGTGTGTTTTAATACTCTGCTGTCTCCAACAAATGTAATTTTTTATTTTACAGATTCAAAAGGGGACAAGATGGGTGCCGCACCCATCTTAACCATGTTGCTGATGTTTTTGGGTAAGTTAGTAATGAGAGTAACAAATAGTAGAAAGACAGTGATTAATGCAAGTTTGTTTATTTTAAACCAACTGAAATATTTTCTACAAAAAGGTGCCATTGAGCTTGCTGGTGCATCAACAACAACTGATGGATCATTTACAACAGAGGCTCCATTAACACTGCATCCATCATCAAAAACTGATGCCTCACCAACAACAGGCAGTTCAATGTCCACGGGAGATTCAGCAACTGTCAGTGGGTCAACAATGACTAAGGCATCAATAACAACAACAGCACCATCAACACTGCATGGATCATCAGAAACTGGTGCCTCACCAAGATCAGGAGGGTCAACAACTCCTGGAGGTTCAGCAACAACAGGCAATTCAACAACTCCTGGAGGTTCAGCAACAACAGGCAATTCAACAATTCCTGGAAGTTCAGCAACAACAGGCAATTCAACAATTCCTGGAGGTTCAGCAACAACAGGCAATTCAACAACTCCTGGAGGTTCAGCAACAACAGGCAATTCAACAACTCCTGGAAGTTCAGCAACAACAGGCAATTCAACAATTCCTGGAAGTTCAGCAACAACAGGCAATTCAACAACTCCTGGAGGTTCAGCAACAACAGGCAATTCAACAATTCCTGGAAGTTCAGCAACATTAGGCAATTCAAAAACTACTGGAGGTTCAGCAACAACAGGCGGTTCAACTATTACTGGACAAATGACAACTGGATTTACCCCAGCTTCCTCACTATTTGTGATTCTCACAGCAACCTTGAATGCACAATTTGAACCAGAACACAGAAATAAGAGCAGTGATCAATACAGAGAACTTGAAGCAAAAGTGGTAACAATGGTGAGCACATTTAAGAATTATTCACAACATTTAATGATGTCTTGAGAAACTCCTCCATTCTGTTTGATTTCTTTTAACACCTATTCCAATTTTGCCGTGGTTCTTGTTTCAAATGTTTGTATCCTGCTTACAGTGCGACCTAATCTTCGGAGAGCGATTCCAGCAAACTTTCATCGACACCGTTGTCATCGAGTTTCGGTAATCTTTAAACCCTTGCATCTATGTGACTTCAAATGCACTGACTCATACCTGCAAAAAGTTAGACTGTGGCGTATCCTTAAATTATGTCAAAGTACTAAATTCAAAGAAACTAAGTTGTCATAAAGCAATATTGAAAACTGTTTTTCTTTCTTATACAATTATCATTTGACTTAAGATTGTTCTTTTTCCATGAAAGGCCAATAACGGGAAAGGTGCAGGTAGAGGTGGGGCTCGAGTTCAACACAACGACTGATCAAATCCCAACAGCCGATGTGGTTGTCGATACCATAAGAGAAGCCGTGAATAAACCCAACAACACCTTCAACCTGCCTCTTGATCCAAACTCCATCACAGTTATTCGTGAGTCAACATTGAATACATGATCCTATATTACCCTACAGTAAGTGCTGGAAAGTCCATCAGCTCACATGTGCTTTTTGTCGTCAATCACTAATTTACAGCTCCAGTAGTACCAACAACAACTACCGGGCCAATGACAACTGGCTTTACTCTAACTTCCTCACCAGTTGTGGTTCTCACAGCAACCTTGGAAAAACCATTTGTAAAAGAACTCAAAAATCGCAGCAGTGAACAGTACAGAGAACTTGAAAGACAAGTGGTAACAACGGTGAGCAAACTTGGGTCATTCACAACAGTTGATGCCGTCTTTAGTAACTCTTCCATTATGTGTGATTTCTTTTAACACCCATTACATTTTTTACGGTGTTTCATGTTTCAAATTTTTGTATCCTGCTTACAGTGCGACCTAATCTTCAGAGAGAGATTCTGGCTCATTTTCTTCCGCACCTTTGTCATCGCGTTTCGGTAAGCTTTCAAACCTTGACTTCAATTGAACTCACTCATAACTAGACAAATGTGACTGTGGCGTATAGTCCAACAATCTGTCAAAGCAGTGTAATCTAAGATTATAAATTGCAATAAGGCAATATTGAAAATGTGCTTTTTTCTTATACAATTATCATTTGATTGACGTTTGTTATTTTTCCATGAAAGGCCAATAGACGGAAATGTGGAGATAGAGGTGGGGCTCGAGTTCAACACAACGACTGATCAAATCCCAACAGCCGATGTGGTTGTCGATACCATAAGAGAAGCCGTGAATAAACCCAACAACACCTTCAACCTGCCTCTTGATCCAAACTCCATCACAGTTATTCGTGAGTCAACATTGAATACATGAACCTATATTACCCTACAGTAAGTGCTGGAAAGTCCATCAGCTCACATGTGCTTTTTGTCGTCAATCACTCATTTACAGCTCCAGTAGTACCAACAACAACTACCGGGCCAATGACAACTGGCTTTACTCTAACTTCCTCACCAGTTGTGGTTCTCACAGCAACCTTGGAAAGACCATTTGTAAAAGAACTCGAAAATCGCAGCAGTGAACAGTACAGAGAACTTGAAAGACAAGTGGTAACAACGGTGAGCAAACTTGGGTCATTCACAACAGTTGATGCCGTATTTAGTAACTCTTCCATTATGTGTGATTTCTTTTAACACCCATTACATTTTTTACGGTGTTTCATGTTTCAAATTTTTGTATCCTGCTTACAGTGCGACCTAATCTTCAGAGAGAGATTCTGGCTCATTTTCTTCCGCACCTTTGTCATCGCGTTTCGGTAAGCTTTCAAACCTTGACTTCAATTGAACTCACTCATAACTAGACAAATGTGACTGTGGCGTATAGTCCAACAATCTGTCAAAGCAGTGTAATCTAAGATTATAAGTTGCAATAAGGCAATATTGAAAATGTGCTTTTTTCTTATACAATTATCATTTGATTGACGTTTGTTATTTTTCCATGAAAGGCCAATAGACGGAAATGTGGAGATAGAGGTGGGGCTCGAGTTCAACACAACGACTGATCAAATCCCAACAGCCGATGTGGTTGTCGATACCATAAGAGAAGCCGTGAATAAACCCAACAACACCTTCAACCTGCCTCTTGATCCAAACTCCATCACAGTTATTCGTGAGTCAACATTGAATACATGAACCTATATTACCCTACAGTAAGTGCTGGAAAGTCCATCAGCTCACATGTGCTTTTTGTCGTCAATCACTCATTTACAGCTCCAGTAGTACCAACAACAACTACCGGGCCAATGACAACTGGCTTTACTCTAACTTCCTCACCAGTTGTGGTTCTCACAGCAACCTTGGAAAGACCATTTGTAAAAGAACTCGAAAATCGCAGCAGTGAACAGTACAGAGAACTTGAAAGACAAGTGGTAACAACGGTGAGCAAACTTGGGTCATTCACAACAGTTGATGCCGTCTTTAGTAACTCTTCCATTATGTGTGATTTCTTTTAACACCCATTACATTTTTTACGGTGTTTCATGTTTCAAATTTTTGTATCCTGCTTACAGTGCGACCTAATCTTCAGAGAGAGATTCTGGCTCATTTTCTTCCGCACCTTTGTCATCGCGTTTCGGTAAGCTTTCAAACCTTGACTTCAATTGAACTCACTCATAACTAGACAAATGTGACTGTGGCGTATAGTCCAACAATCTGTCAAAGCAGTGTAATCTAAGATTATAAATTGCAATAAGGCAATATTGAAAATGTGCTTTTTTCTTATACAATTATCATTTGATTGACGTTTGTTATTTTTCCATGAAAGGCCAATAGACGGAAATGTGGAGATAGAGGTGGGGCTCGAGTTCAACACAACGACTGATCAAATCCCAACAGCCGATGTGGTTGTCGATACCATAAGAGAAGCCGTGAATAAACCCAACAACACCTTCAACCTGCCTCTTGATCCAAACTCCATCACAGTTATTCGTGAGTCAACATTGAATACATGAACCTATATTACCCTACAGTAAGTGCTGGAAAGTCCATCAGCTCACATGTGCTTTTTGTCGTCAATCACTCATTTACAGCTCCAGTAGTACCAACAACAACTACCGGGCCAATGACAACTGGCTTTACTCTAACTTCCTCACCAGTTGTGGTTCTCACAGCAACCTTGGAAAGACCATTTGTAAAAGAACTCGAAAATCGCAGCAGTGAACAGTACAGAGAACTTGAAAGACAAGTGGTAACAACGGTGAGCAAACTTGGGTCATTCACAACAGTTGATGCCGTCTTTAGTAACTCTTCCATTATGTGTGATTTCTTTTAACACCCATTACATTTTTTACGGTGTTTCATGTTTCAAATTTTTGTATCCTGCTTACAGTGCGACCTAATCTTCAGAGAGAGATTCTGGCTCATTTTCTTCCGCACCTTTGTCATCGCGTTTCGGTAAGCTTTCAAACCTTGACTTCAATTGAACTCACTCATAACTAGACAAATGTGACTGTGGCGTATAGTCCAACAATCTGTCAAAGCAGTGTAATCTAAGATTATAAATTGCAATAAGGCAATATTGAAAATGTGCTTTTTTCTTATACAATTATCATTTGATTGACGTTTGTTATTTTTCCATGAAAGGCCAATAGACGGAAATGTGGAGATAGAGGTGGGGCTCGAGTTCAACACAACGACTGATCAAATCCCAACAGCCGATGTGGTTGTCGATACCATAAGAGAAGCCGTGAATAAACCCAACAACACCTTCAACCTGCCTCTTGATCCAAACTCCATCACAGTTATTCGTGAGTCAACATTGAATACATGAACCTATATTACCCTACAGTAAGTGCTGGAAAGTCCATCAGCTCACATGTGCTTTTTGTCGTCAATCACTCATTTACAGCTCCAGTAGTACCAACAACAACTACCGGGCCAATGACAACTGGCTTTACTCTAACTTCCTCACCAGTTGTGGTTCTCACAGCAACCTTGGAAAGACCATTTGTAAAAGAACTCGAAAATCGCAGCAGTGAACAGTACAGAGAACTTGAAAGACAAGTGGTAACAACGGTGAGCAAACTTGGGTCATTCACAACAGTTGATGCCGTCTTTAGTAACTCTTCCATTATGTGTGATTTCTTTTAACACCCATTACATTTTTTACGGTGTTTCATGTTTCAAATTTTTGTATCCTGCTTACAGTGCGACCTAATCTTCAGAGAGAGATTCTGGCTCATTTTCTTCCGCACCTTTGTCATCGCGTTTCGGTAAGCTTTCAAACCTTGACTTCAATTGAACTCACTCATAACTAGACAAATGTGACTGTGGCGTATAGTCCAACAATCTGTCAAAGCAGTGTAATCTAAGATTATAAATTGCAATAAGGCAATATTGAAAATGTGCTTTTTTCTTATACAATTATCATTTGATTGACGTTTGTTATTTTTCCATGAAAGGCCAATAGACGGAAATGTGGAGATAGAGGTGGGGCTCGAGTTCAACACAACGACTGATCAAATCCCAACAGCCGATGTGGTTGTCGATACCATAAGAGAAGCCGTGAATAAACCCAACAACACCTTCAACCTGCCTCTTGATCCAAACTCCATCACAGTTATTCGTGAGTCAACATTGAATACATGAACCTATATTACCCTACAGTAAGTGCTGGAAAGTCCATCAGCTCACATGTGCTTTTTGTCGTCAATCACTCATTTACAGCTCCAGTAGTACCAACAACAACTACCGGGCCAATGACAACTGGCTTTACTCTAACTTCCTCACCAGTTGTGGTTCTCACAGCAACCTTGGAAAGACCATTTGTAAAAGAACTCGAAAATCGCAGCAGTGAACAGTACAGAGAACTTGAAAGACAAGTGGTAACAACGGTGAGCAAACTTGGGTCATTCACAACAGTTGATGCCGTCTTTAGTAACTCTTCCATTATGTGTGATTTCTTTTAACACCCATTACATTTTTTACGGTGTTTCATGTTTCAAATTTTTGTATCCTGCTTACAGTGCGACCTAATCTTCAGAGAGAGATTCTGGCTCATTTTCTTCCGCACCTTTGTCATCGCGTTTCGGTAAGCTTTCAAACCTTGACTTCAATTGAACTCACTCATAACTAGACAAATGTGACTGTGGCGTATAGTCCAACAATCTGTCAAAGCAGTGTAATCTAAGATTATAAATTGTAATAAGGCAATATTGAAAATGTGCTTTTTTCTTATACAATTATCATTTGATTGACGTTTGTTATTTTTCCATGAAAGGCCAATAGACGGAAAGGTGGAGATAGAGGTGGGGCTCGAGTTCAACACAACGACTGATCAAATCCCAACAGCCGATGTGGTTGTCGATACCATAAGAGAAGCCGTGAATAAACCCAACAACACCTTCAACCTGCCTCTTGATCCAAACTCCATCACAGTTATTCGTGAGTCAACATTGAATACATGAACCTATATTACCCTACAGTAAGTGCTGGAAAGTCCATCAGCTCACATGTGCTTTTTGTCGTCAATCACTCATTTACAGCTCCAGTAGTACCAACAACAACTACCGGGCCAATGACAACTGGCTTTACTCTAACTTCCTCACCAGTTGTGGTTCTCACAGCAACCTTGGAAAGACCATTTGTAAAAGAACTCGAAAATCGCAGCAGTGAACAGTACAGAGAACTTGAAAGACAAGTGGTAACAACGGTGAGCAAACTTGGGTCATTCACAACAGTTGATGCCGTCTTTAGTAACTCTTCCATTATGTGTGATTTCTTTTAACACCCATTACATTTTTTACGGTGTTTCATGTTTCAAATTTTTGTATCCTGCTTACAGTGCGACCTAATCTTCAGAGAGAGATTCTGGCTCATTTTCTTCCGCACCTTTGTCATCGCGTTTCGGTAAGCTTTCAAACCTTGACTTCAATTGAACTCACTCATAACTAGACAAATGTGACTGTGGCGTATAGTCCAACAATCTGTCAAAGCAGTGTAATCTAAGATTATAAATTGTAATAAGGCAATATTGAAAATGTGCTTTTTTCTTATACAATTATCATTTGATTGACGTTTGTTATTTTTCCATGAAAGGCCAATAGACGGAAATGTGGAGATAGAGGTGGGGCTCGAGTTCAACACAACGACTGATCAAATCCCAACAGCCGATGTGGTTGTCGATACCATAAGAGAAGCCGTGAATAAACCCAACAACACCTTCAACCTGCCTCTTGATCCAAACTCCATCACAGTTATTCGTGAGTCAACATTGAATACATGAACCTATATTACCCTACAGTAAGTGCTGGAAAGTCCATCAGCTCACATGTGCTTTTTGTCGTCAATCACTCATTTACAGCTCCAGTAGTACCAACAACAACTACCGGGCCAATGACAACTGGCTTTACTCTAACTTCCTCACCAGTTGTGGTTCTCACAGCAACCTTGGAAAGACCATTTGTAAAAGAACTCGAAAATCGCAGCAGTGAACAGTACAGAGAACTTGAAAGACAAGTGGTAACAACGGTGAGCAAACTTGGGTCATTCACAACAGTTGATGCCGTCTTTAGTAACTCTTCCATTATGTGTGATTTCTTTTAACACCCATTACATTTTTTACGGTGTTTCATGTTTCAAATTTTTGTATCCTGCTTACAGTGCGACCTAATCTTCAGAGAGAGATTCTGGCTCATTTTCTTCCGCACCTTTGTCATCGCGTTTCGGTAAGCTTTCAAACCTTGACTTCAATTGAACTCACTCATAACTAGACAAATGTGACTGTGGCGTATAGTCCAACAATCTGTCAAAGCAGTGTAATCTAAGATTATAAATTGTAATAAGGCAATATTGAAAATGTGCTTTTTTCTTATACAATTATCATTTGATTGACGTTTGTTATTTTTCCATGAAAGGCCAATAGACGGAAAGGTGGAGATAGAGGTGGGGCTCGAGTTCAACACAACGACTGATCAAATCCCAACAGCCGATGTGGTTGTCGATACCATAAGAGAAGCCGTGAATAAACCCAACAACACTTTCAACCTGCCTCTTGATCCAAACTCCATCACAGTTATTCGTGAGTCAACATTGAATACATGAACCTATATTACCCTACAGTAAGTGCTGGAAAGTCCATCAGCTCACATGTGCTTTTTGTCGTCAATCACTCATTTACAGCTCCAGTAGTACCAACAACAACTACCGGGCCAATGACAACTGGCTTTACTCTAACTTCCTCACCAGTTGTGGTTCTCACAGCAACCTTGGAAAGACCATTTGTAAAAGAACTCGAAAATCGCAGCAGTGAACAGTACAGAGAACTTGAAAGACAAGTGGTAACAACGGTGAGCAAACTTGGGTCATTCACAACAGTTGATGCCGTCTTTAGTAACTCTTCCATTATGTGTGATTTCTTTTAACACCCATTACATTTTTTACGGTGTTTCATGTTTCAAATTTTTGTATCCTGCTTACAGTGCGACCTAATCTTCAGAGAGAGATTCTGGCTCATTTTCTTCCGCACCTTTGTCATCGCGTTTCGGTAAGCTTTCAAACCTTGACTTCAATTGAACTCACTCATAACTAGACAAATGTGACTGTGGCGTATAGTCCAACAATCTGTCAAAGCAGTGTAATCTAAGATTATAAATTGTAATAAGGCAATATTGAAAATGTGCTTTTTTCTTATACAATTATCATTTGATTGACGTTTGTTATTTTTCCATGAAAGGCCAATAGACGGAAAGGTGGAGATAGAGGTGGGGCTCGAGTTCAACACAACGACTGATCAAATCCCAACAGCCGATGTGGTTGTCGATACCATAAGAGAAGCCGTGAATAAACCCAACAACACCTTCAACCTGCCTCTTGATCCAAACTCCATCACAGTTATTCGTGAGTCAACATTGAATACATGAACCTATATTACCCTACAGTAAGTGCTGGAAAGTCCATCAGCTCACATGTGCTTTTTGTCGTCAATCACTCATTTACAGCTCCAGTAGTACCAACAACAACTACCGGGCCAATGACAACTGGCTTTACTCTAACTTCCTCACCAGTTGTGGTTCTCACAGCAACCTTGGAAAGACCATTTGTAAAAGAACTCGAAAATCGCAGCAGTGAACAGTACAGAGAACTTGAAAGACAAGTGGTAACAACGGTGAGCAAACTTGGGTCATTCACAACAGTTGATGCCGTCTTTAGTAACTCTTCCATTATGTGTGATTTCTTTTAACACCCATTACATTTTTTACGGTGTTTCATGTTTCAAATTTTTGTATCCTGCTTACAGTGCGACCTAATCTTCAGAGAGAGATTCTGGCTCATTTTCTTCCGCACCTTTGTCATCGCGTTTCGGTAAGCTTTCAAACCTTGACTTCAATTGAACTCACTCATAACTAGACAAATGTGACTGTGGCGTATAGTCCAACAATCTGTCAAAGCAGTGTAATCTAAGATTATAAATTGCAATAAGGCAATATTGAAAATGTGCTTTTTTCTTATACAATTATCATTTGATTGACGTTTGTTATTTTTCCATGAAAGGCCAATAGACGGAAAGGTGGAGATAGAGGTGGGGCTCGAGTTCAACACAACGACTGATCAAATCCCAACAGCCGATGTGGTTGTCGATACCATAAGAGAAGCCGTGAATAAACCCAACAACACCTTCAACCTGCCTCTTGATCCAAACTCCATCACAGTTATTCGTGAGTCAACATTGAATACATGAACCTATATTACCCTACAGTAAGTGCTGGAAAGTCCATCAGCTCACATGTGCTTTTTGTCGTCAATCACTCATTTACAGCTCCAGTAGTACCAACAACAACTACCGGGCCAATGACAACTGGCTTTACTCTAACTTCCTCACCAGTTGTGGTTCTCACAGCAACCTTGGAAAGACCATTTGTAAAAGAACTCGAAAATCGCAGCAGTGAACAGTACAGAGAACTTGAAAGACAAGTGGTAACAACGGTGAGCAAACTTGGGTCATTCACAACAGTTGATGCCGTCTTTAGTAACTCTTCCATTATGTGTGATTTCTTTTAACACCCATTACATTTTTTACGGTGTTTCATGTTTCAAATTTTTGTATCCTGCTTACAGTGCGACCTAATCTTCAGAGAGAGATTCTGGCTCATTTTCTTCCGCACCTTTGTCATCGCGTTTCGGTAAGCTTTCAAACCTTGACTTCAATTGAACTCACTCATAACTAGACAAATGTGACTGTGGCGTATAGTCCAACAATCTGTCAAAGCAGTGTAATCTAAGATTATAAATTGTAATAAGGCAATATTGAAAATGTGCTTTTTTCTTATACAATTATCATTTGATTGACGTTTGTTATTTTTCCATGAAAGGCCAATAGACGGAAAGGTGGAGATAGAGGTGGGGCTCGAGTTCAACACAACGACTGATCAAATCCCAACAGCCGATGTGGTTGTCGATACCATAAGAGAAGCCGTGAATAAACCCAACAACACCTTCAACCTGCCTCTTGATCCAAACTCCATCACAGTTATTCGTGAGTCAACATTGAATACATGAACCTATATTACCCTACAGTAAGTGCTGGAAAGTCCATCAGCTCACATGTGCTTTTTGTCGTCAATCACTCATTTACAGCTCCAGTAGTACCAACAACAACTACCGGGCCAATGACAACTGGCTTTACTCTAACTTCCTCACCAGTTGTGGTTCTCACAGCAACCTTGGAAAGACCATTTGTAAAAGAACTCGAAAATCGCAGCAGTGAACAGTACAGAGAACTTGAAAGACAAGTGGTAACAACGGTGAGCAAACTTGGGTCATTCACAACAGTTGATGCCGTCTTTAGTAACTCTTCCATTATGTGTGATTTCTTTTAACACCCATTACATTTTTTACGGTGTTTCATGTTTCAAATTTTTGTATCCTGCTTACAGTGCGACCTAATCTTCAGAGAGAGATTCTGGCTCATTTTCTTCCGCACCTTTGTCATCGCGTTTCGGTAAGCTTTCAAACCTTGACTTCAATTGAACTCACTCATAACTAGACAAATGTGACTGTGGCGTATAGTCCAACAATCTGTCAAAGCAGTGTAATCTAAGATTATAAATTGTAATAAGGCAATATTGAAAATGTGCTTTTTTCTTATACAATTATCATTTGATTGACGTTTGTTATTTTTCCATGAAAGGCCAATAGACGGAAATGTGGAGATAGAGGTGGGGCTCGAGTTCAACACAACGACTGATCAAATCCCAACAGCCGATGTGGTTGTCGATACCATAAGAGAAGCCGTGAATAAACCCAACAACACCTTCAACCTGCCTCTTGATCCAAACTCCATCACAGTTATTCGTGAGTCAACATTGAATACATGAACCTATATTACCCTACAGTAAGTGCTGGAAAGTCCATCAGCTCACATGTGCTTTTTGTCGTCAATCACTCATTTACAGCTCCAGTAGTACCAACAACAACTACCGGGCCAATGACAACTGGCTTTACTCTAACTTCCTCACCAGTTGTGGTTCTCACAGCAACCTTGGAAAGACCATTGGTAAAAGAACTCGAAAATCGCAGCAGTGAACAGTACAGAGAACTTGAAAGACAAGTGGTAACAACGGTGAGCAAACTTGGGTCATTCACAACAGTTGATGCCGTCTTTAGTAACTCTTCCATTATGTGTGATTTCTTTTAACACCCATTACATTTTTTACGGTGTTTCATGTTTCAAATTTTTGTATCCTGCTTACAGTGCGACCTAATCTTCAGAGAGAGATTCTGGCTCATTTTCTTCCGCACCTTTGTCATCGCGTTTCGGTAACCTTTGACTTCAATTGAACTCACTCATAACTAGACAAATGTGACTGTGGCGTATAGTCCAACAATCTGTCAAAGCAGTGTAATCTAAGATTATAAGTTGCAATAAGGCAATATTGAAAATGTGCTTTTTTCTTATACAATTATCATTTGATTGACGTTTGTTATTTTTCCATGAAAGGCCAATAGACGGAAATGTGGAGATAGAGGTGGGGCTCGAGTTCAACACAACGACTGATCAAATCCCAACAGCCGATGTGGTTGTCGATACCATAAGAGAAGCCGTGAATAAACCCAACAACACCTTCAACCTGCCTCTTGATCCAAACTCCATCACAGTTATTCGTGAGTCAACATTGAATACATGAACCTATATTACCCTACAGTAAGTGCTGGAAAGTCCATCAGCTCACATGTGCTTTTTGTCGTCAATCACTCATTTACAGCTCCAGTAGTACCAACAACAACTACCGGGCCAATGACAACTGGCTTTACTCTAACTTCCTCACCAGTTGTGGTTCTCACAGCAACCTTGGAAAGACCATTTGTAAAAGAACTCGAAAATCGCAGCAGTGAACAGTACAGAGAACTTGAAAGACAAGTGGTAACAACGGTGAGCAAACTTGGGTCATTCACAACAGTTGATGCCGTCTTTAGTAACTCTTCCATTATGTGTGATTTCTTTTAACACCCATTACATTTTTTACGGTGTTTCATGTTTCAAATTTTTGTATCCTGCTTACAGTGCGACCTAATCTTCAGAGAGAGATTCTGGCTCATTTTCTTCCGCACCTTTGTCATCGCGTTTCGGTAAGCTTTCAAACCTTGACTTCAATTGAACTCACTCATAACTAGACAAATGTGACTGTGGCGTATAGTCCAACAATCTGTCAAAGCAGTGTAATCTAAGATTATAAGTTGCAATAAGGCAATATTGAAAATGTGCTTTTTTCTTATACAATTATCATTTGATTGACGTTTGTTATTTTTCCATGAAAGGCCAATAGACGGAAATGTGGAGATAGAGGTGGGGCTCGAGTTCAACACAACGACTGATCAAATCCCAACAGCCGATGTGGTTGTCGATACCATAAGAGAAGCCGTGAATAAACCCAACAACACCTTCAACCTGCCTCTTGATCCAAACTCCATCACAGTTATTCGTGAGTCAACATTGAATACATGAACCTATATTACCCTACAGTAAGTGCTGGAAAGTCCATCAGCTCACATGTGCTTTTTGTCGTCAATCACTCATTTACAGCTCCAGTAGTACCAACAACAACTACCGGGCCAATGACAACTGGCTTTACTCTAACTTCCTCACCAGTTGTGGTTCTCACAGCAACCTTGGAAAGACCATTTGTAAAAGAACTCGAAAATCGCAGCAGTGAACAGTACAGAGAACTTGAAAGACAAGTGGTAACAACGGTGAGCAAACTTGGGTCATTCACAACAGTTGATGCCGTATTTAGTAACTCTTCCATTATGTGTGATTTCTTTTAACACCCATTACATTTTTTACGGTGTTTCATGTTTCAAATTTTTGTATCCTGCTTACAGTGCGACCTAATCTTCAGAGAGAGATTCTGGCTCATTTTCTTCCGCACCTTTGTCATCGAGTTTCGGTAAGCTTTCAAACCTTGACTTCAATTGAACTCACTCATAACTAGACAAATGTGACTGTGGCGTATAGTCCAACAATCTGTCAAAGCAGTGTAATCTAAGATTATAAATTGTAATAAGGCAATATTGAAAATGTGCTTTTTTCTTATACAATTATCATTTGATTGACGTTTGTTATTTTTCCATGAAAGGCCAATAGACGGAAATGTGGAGATAGAGGTGGGGCTCGAGTTCAACACAACGACTGATCAAATCCCAACAGCCGATGTGGTTGTCGATACCATAAGAGAAGCCGTGAATAAACCCAACAACACCTTCAACCTGCCTCTTGATCCAAACTCCATCACAGTTATTCGTGAGTCAACATTGAATACATGAACCTATATTACCCTACAGTAAGTGCTGGAAAGTCCATCAGCTCACATGTGCTTTTTGTCGTCAATCACTCATTTACAGCTCCAGTAGTACCAACAACAACTACCGGGCCAATGACAACTGGCTTTACTCTAACTTCCTCACCAGTTGTGGTTCTCACAGCAACCTTGGAAAGACCATTTGTAAAAGAACTCGAAAATCGCAGCAGTGAACAGTACAGAGAACTTGAAAGACAAGTGGTAACAACGGTGAGCAAACTTGGGTCATTCACAACAGTTGATGCCGTCTTTAGTAACTCTTCCATTATGTGTGATTTCTTTTAACACCCATTACATTTTTTACGGTGTTTCATGTTTCAAATTTTTGTATCCTGCTTACAGTGCGACCTAATCTTCAGAGAGAGATTCTGGCTCATTTTCTTCCGCACCTTTGTCATCGCGTTTCGGTAAGCTTTCAAACCTTGACTTCAATTGAACTCACTCATAACTAGACAAATGTGACTGTGGCGTATAGTCCAACAATCTGTCAAAGCAGTGTAATCTAAGATTATAAATTGTAATAAGGCAATATTGAAAATGTGCTTTTTTCTTATACAATTATCATTTGATTGACGTTTGTTATTTTTCCATGAAAGGCCAATAGACGGAAATGTGGAGATAGAGGTGGGGCTCGAGTTCAACACAACGACTGATCAAATCCCAACAGCCGATGTGGTTGTCGATACCATAAGAGAAGCCGTGAATAAACCCAACAACACCTTCAACCTGCCTCTTGATCCAAACTCCATCACAGTTATTCGTGAGTCAACATTGAATACATGAACCTATATTACCCTACAGTAAGTGCTGGAAAGTCCATCAGCTCACATGTGCTTTTTGTCGTCAATCACTCATTTACAGCTCCAGTAGTACCAACAACAACTACCGGGCCAATGACAACTGGCTTTACTCTAACTTCCTCACCAGTTGTGGTTCTCACAGCAACCTTGGAAAGACCATTTGTAAAAGAACTCGAAAATCGCAGCAGTGAACAGTACAGAGAACTTGAAAGACAAGTGGTAACAACGGTGAGCAAACTTGGGTCATTCACAACAGTTGATGCCGTATTTAGTAACTCTTCCATTATGTGTGATTTCTTTTAACACCCATTACATTTTTTACGGTGTTTCATGTTTCAAATTTTTGTATCCTGCTTACAGTGCGACCTAATCTTCAGAGAGAGATTCTGGCTCATTTTCTTCCGCACCTTTGTCATCGCGTTTCGGTAAGCTTTCAAACCTTGACTTCAATTGAACTCACTCATAACTAGACAAATGTGACTGTGGCGTATAGTCCAACAATCTGTCAAAGCAGTGTAATCTAAGATTATAAATTGTAATAAGGCAATATTGAAAATGTGCTTTTTTCTTATACAATTATCATTTGATTGACGTTTGTTATTTTTCCATGAAAGGCCAATAGACGGAAAGGTGGAGATAGAGGTGGGGCTCGAGTTCAACACAACGACTGATCAAATCCCAACAGCCGATGTGGTTGTCGATACCATAAGAGAAGCCGTGAATAAACCCAACAACACTTTCAACCTGCCTCTTGATCCAAACTCCATCACAGTTATTCGTGAGTCAACATTGAATACATGAACCTATATTACCCTACAGTAAGTGCTGGAAAGTCCATCAGCTCACATGTGCTTTTTGTCGTCAATCACTCATTTACAGCTCCAGTAGTACCAACAACAACTACCGGGCCAATGACAACTGGCTTTACTCTAACTTCCTCACCAGTTGTGGTTCTCACAGCAACCTTGGAAAGACCATTTGTAAAAGAACTCGAAAATCGCAGCAGTGAACAGTACAGAGAACTTGAAAGACAAGTGGTAACAACGGTGAGCAAACTTGGGTCATTCACAACAGTTGATGCCGTATTTAGTAACTCTTCCATTATGTGTGATTTCTTTTAACACCCATTACATTTTTTACGGTGTTTCATGTTTCAAATTTTTGTATCCTGCTTACAGTGCGACCTAATCTTCAGAGAGAGATTCTGGCTCATTTTCTTCCGCACCTTTGTCATCGCGTTTCGGTAAGCTTTCAAACCTTGACTTCAATTGAACTCACTCATAACTAGACAAATGTGACTGTGGCGTATAGTCCAACAATCTGTCAAAGCAGTGTAATCTAAGATTATAAATTGTAATAAGGCAATATTGAAAATGTGCTTTTTTCTTATACAATTATCATTTGATTGACGTTTGTTATTTTTCCATGAAAGGCCAATAGACGGAAAGGTGGAGATAGAGGTGGGGCTCGAGTTCAACACAACGACTGATCAAATCCCAACAGCCGATGTGGTTGTCGATACCATAAGAGAAGCCGTGAATAAACCCAACAACACCTTTCAACCTGCCTCTTGATCCAAACTCCATCACAGTTATTCGTGAGTCAACATTGAATACATGAACCTATATTACCCTACAGTAAGTGCTGGAAAGTCCATCAGCTCACATGTGCTTTTTGTCGTCAATCACTCATTTACAGCTCCAGTAGTACCAACAACAACTACCGGGCCAATGACAACTGGCTTTACTCTAACTTCCTCACCAGTTGTGGTTCTCACAGCAACCTTGGAAAGACCATTTGTAAAAGAACTCGAAAATCGCAGCAGTGAACAGTACAGAGAACTTGAAAGACAAGTGGTAACAACGGTGAGCAAACTTGGGTCATTCACAACAGTTGATGCCGTCTTTAGTAACTCTTCCATTATGTGTGATTTCTTTTAACACCCATTACATTTTTTACGGTGTTTCATGTTTCAAATTTTTGTATCCTGCTTACAGTGCGACCTAATCTTCAGAGAGAGATTCTGGCTCATTTTCTTCCGCACCTTTGTCATCGCGTTTCGGTAAGCTTTCAAACCTTGACTTCAATTGAACTCACTCATAACTAGACAAATGTGACTGTGGCGTATAGTCCAACAATCTGTCAAAGCAGTGTAATCTAAGATTATAAATTGTAATAAGGCAATATTGAAAATGTGCTTTTTTCTTATACAATTATCATTTGATTGACGTTTGTTATTTTTCCATGAAAGGCCAATAGACGGAAATGTGGAGATAGAGGTGGGGCTCGAGTTCAACACAACGACTGATCAAATCCCAACAGCCGATGTGGTTGTCGATACCATAAGAGAAGCCGTGAATAAACCCAACAACACTTTCAACCTGCCTCTTGATCCAAACTCCATCACAGTTATTCGTGAGTCAACATTGAATACATGAACCTATATTACCCTACAGTAAGTGCTGGAAAGTCCATCAGCTCACATGTGCTTTTTGTCGTCAATCACTCATTTACAGCTCCAGTAGTACCAACAACAACTACCGGGCCAATGACAACTGGCTTTACTCTAACTTCCTCACCAGTTGTGGTTCTCACAGCAACCTTGGAAAGACCATTTGTAAAAGAACTCGAAAATCGCAGCAGTGAACAGTACAGAGAACTTGAAAGACAAGTGGTAACAACGGTGAGCAAACTTGGGTCATTCACAACAGTTGATGCCGTATTTAGTAACTCTTCCATTATGTGTGATTTCTTTTAACACCCATTACATTTTTTACGGTGTTTCATGTTTCAAATTTTTGTATCCTGCTTACAGTGCGACCTAATCTTCAGAGAGAGATTCTGGCTCATTTTCTTCCGCACCTTTGTCATCGCGTTTCGGTAAGCTTTCAAACCTTGACTTCAATTGAACTCACTCATAACTAGACAAATGTGACTGTGGCGTATAGTCCAACAATCTGTCAAAGCAGTGTAATCTAAGATTATAAATTGTAATAAGGCAATATTGAAAATGTGCTTTTTTCTTATACAATTATCATTTGATTGACGTTTGTTATTTTTCCATGAAAGGCCAATAGACGGAAAGGTGGAGATAGAGGTGGGGCTCGAGTTCAACACAACGACTGATCAAATCCCAACAGCCGATGTGGTTGTCGATACCATAAGAGAAGCCGTGAATAAACCCAACAACACTTTCAACCTGCCTCTTGATCCAAACTCCATCACAGTTATTCGTGAGTCAACATTGAATACATGAACCTATATTACCCTACAGTAAGTGCTGGAAAGTCCATCAGCTCACATGTGCTTTTTGTCGTCAATCACTCATTTACAGCTCCAGTAGTACCAACAACAACTACCGGGCCAATGACAACTGGCTTTACTCTAACTTCCTCACCAGTTGTGGTTCTCACAGCAACCTTGGAAAGACCATTTGTAAAAGAACTCGAAAATCGCAGCAGTGAACAGTACAGAGAACTTGAAAGACAAGTGGTAACAACGGTGAGCAAACTTGGGTCATTCACAACAGTTGATGCCGTATTTAGTAACTCTTCCATTATGTGTGATTTCTTTTAACACCCATTACATTTTTTACGGTGTTTCATGTTTCAAATTTTTGTATCCTGCTTACAGTGCGACCTAATCTTCAGAGAGAGATTCTGGCTCATTTTCATCCGCACCTTTGTCATCGCGTTTCGGTAAGCTTTCAAACCTTGACTTCAATTGAACTCACTCATAACTAGACAAATGTGACTGTGGCGTATAGTCCAACAATCTGTCAAAGCAGTGTAATCTAAGATTATAAATTGCAATAAGGCAATATTGAAAATGTGCTTTTTTCTTATACAATTATCATTTGATTGACGTTTGTTATTTTTCCATGAAAGGCCAATAGAGGGAAAAGTGGAGATAGAGGTGGGGCTCGAGTTCAACACAACGACTGATCAAATCCCAACAGCCGATGTGGTTGTCGATACCATAACAGAAGCCTTGAAAAACCCCAACAACTTCAACCTGCCTCTTGATCCAAACTCCATCAAAGTTATTCGTAAGTCAACATTGAATACATGAAACAATATTTCCTTCCAGTCAATATTATTAACACTGTTTTTAATAAAACATGAATTATTCCTAACACCTCTAGGTTCAACAACGAGTGGAAGTTCAACAACCACCCCAGGGCTAGTTACAACTGAAACATCGAAGACCTCCCGTGGAGCAACACGTATACATGACTTAACTACAACTGGTGATTTAACTGTTACCAGTGGGTCAACCAGTTCCAGTGGATCAACAACAACTGATGGGTCAACTTTAACCAGTAGATCACCCAGTTCCAGTCAATCAACAACAACTGATGGGCTAACTTTAACCAGTAGATCACCCAGTTCCAGTCAATCAACAACAACTGATGGGCTAACTTTAACCAGTAGATCACCCAGTTCCGGTGGATCAACAACAACTGATGGGTCAACTTTAACCAGTAGATCACCCAGTTCCAGTGGATCAACAACAACTGATGGGTCAACTTTAACCAGTAGATCACCCAGTTCCAGTGGATCAACAACAACTGATGGGTCAACTTTAACCAGTAGATCACCCAGTTCCAGTGGATCAACAACAACTGATGGGTCAACTTTAACCAGTAAATCACCCAGTTCCAGTGGATCAACAACAACTGATGGGTCAACTTTAACCAGTAGATCACCCAGTTCCATTGGATCAACTACAACTGCTGGCTCAACCAATTTCAAAAAATCTACAACAAGCGGTAGTTCTACAAAAACAAAAGGGTCAACTACTGCTGGAAGTTTGGTTACAACTGATGGATCAGTAACACCTCAAGCAACAACTAGTCCTGGTGATGAAGTTACTACAGCAGCCCCAAGAGTTGTGGTTGTCGCAGCAACCTTGGTAGAAGTATTTGTGGAAGAATTGAACAGTCCAAACAGTGCACAATACAAAGCACTGGAGACACGGGTTGTAACAGTGGTGAGCACACTTTTTATAAAATCTGAAGTTATCTTTTCATACTATTAGGTTTGGAAAAATCTTTCAGTATACTAATTTATTTTTTCTATTGTATTTCTCCTTCACAGTGTGATTTAATCTACAGGACTAGATTTGGATTTCTTTTCATCCGCACATATATCATACGATTCAGGTACGTTTTAAAAACCTAAAGGCATTGTTCAGAATACATTTAATCTTTAATCAAGACTACATTGTGGGTTTCAATGTGTATGACAAAACACATTTAAACAATTATTAGATTAATCATTTGACTTAAGTATGTATGTTTTTATGCAGCCGTGTTGTGGCAAGGACACGTATGGAGAATGTTCAAGCAGAGGTGGGAATAGAATTCAACAATACAGTTTCATCAGACCAAATCCCAAAGGATGATCTTATTATAAATGCCTTAGTAGAAGCTGTGAATAAACCAAACACCTTCAACCTTACGATTGATGCAACCTCCATTCAAATAATAAGTAAGTAAACAATTGTTTATATGTTGATTGATTCTTTATCTATAAAACATGCATTGAATAGTACTGTTTGGCATAATTACAATTATGTCAAGGTCTGTATTTCCCAATTACAATAGCCCTTTTATGCATTGAAGAAACACGATTGCTTTGACCCAAATGAGTGGTGGTTATACACATTTTGAGCTACTACTTATTTTAATGTTATAACTGTGTTATAGCACCTCCAAATGCAACAACAACTTCACCAACTAAAGCTCCTGCAACTCCAGTTACAACGGCTAAGATTCCTGCAACGACGGCTTCTGTAACAGGCGCCGGTACAACTGCTGAACAACTCATCATACGGAGGCTGACCTTCAGATCTGCTGGAGAGACATTTATGAATGACTTGCTGAATCCATCTTCATCAGCATTTCAAATTAGAGCTACATTGATAAAGCAAACGGTATTTTTCTTTTTTTAATAATGATATATGCATTAACAAAAATATACATTGTTTTGACTAATAAGAATGAGGTCATTAGCCATAACAAAATTGATTGAAAATACTTTCACAAGATGGTGTTTCTTGTTCGTTGTTTCACTGTGGTTTTAGAAACAAGAACATTACAGGTATTATTAAAAAAGGAACACTTTGTGACAACATCAGGAAACTATGTTATTTTTGTTGTTGCTTGGTGGATAAGCATGCTTATAACAATTGCAGTTGTTGGACAGACAAAAAAGCAAAAGGTAGCATGAACATGGATTTGCTTTTAAATGTTTGACATCAGTTTCGGTAACCTAGAGCAACACCCACTGCAGGAACTTCCTTGAATTAACAAAAAGAGAATACATGTCTAAAGAACAGTCTCCAGTCAACTGAACAGCTCTCTAAAAACAAGGTCCCACTCCCTGTTGCAATCCATCAAAAAACATGCCTCTGCTCAATTTTCTCCTAAATTAGAAATAACTGAAGAAACCAACTGTCCATATACGTATATTATGATGAGCATAGATTGGAAATGTGTTAGTCACGAAATAAATGTAAGAAAAAATGTACTTGTGTAAAAAATGGCAGTGCTGAAGTGAGGAAGAGCACA